TCAGACCAGGGACACGTGAACGGTCGTTCACTTAGAGTTTGTATACTCTAGAGGAAATAAACTTCCTCTGCACAAGGTGCTGTGTGACTCCGTCACACATTACAACCCCTAGGCGGCTTGGCCGCGAATAAAAGATAATAAAGAGTTTAGATTTTGAGAAACTTTATAGCTATTTGGAGTTAAATAACTTTTCAACCCTAAGTAAGAGGGTTGAGTAGTGCCCTTGAATAAGGAGCTAAGGTTAAGGGACTCTTTGAGTCGAACGTCTTCCTCTTACCCTACGCTACAGCAGCCCCGTTGCAAGGTTGAACAAAGTGAAGAATTAATAATGCAGTAGGTTTGCGTTATCCACGCGCGTATGTGCTATATAGTGTCTAACTAAGCCAACTGTGTAAACACCCCACAGGTCTCTGTTTTACATGAGGTACATTAGCCCCGACGTAGAAGGTTCCAGTCGATTCTGTAGGTCCGAGTATACCAGTTTTATTGACGAGATGAACAGCTAACACTCATTCGACGTGGGCGAAATAAAGCGGCATCGTCGTACACTGATCGCTTTAACGTCTTGCGTTTCTTGAACACTTGCTGAACCAACGATAATTGCGCTAAAGGGGTCTCATCAAACGCTTCACGCCCGGTACGTCGAAATCAGCACAGGCAACACGCTTCGCAGCGGATAGCTGCTCCTTCTGTTGCAAATTGACTAAATCAGACTTTACAGCCACATCGTTAATGATAGCGGCCGTTGATGAAACACGAGGTTTTAAGTTATGGACAATGCTGGCTCATGAGGTCAAAAATCTTGCGGGCACCATAAACGGTTAACGTAAGACGCCGTAAAGTCTTCATGACCCCATCAAACCGTTAAGAGCTTGTAGCAGCTCATGAACGCGTTCTGGCTCGGATTTTCGCAACAGGAAGGGCTGGATACCGAACTGGACTAGGGTGTCGTGTCCACGGGAGTAGAGAGCTAGAGAGCTATGCATATTTTTTTCTTTTAGTGCTGTACAATAGCATATGGACTCGGCCACATTGTGTCATTACGAAGCAGAGGCGAAAGATCTGTAACCCGACTAAAACCCGCTGCAGTTGTTGTAGAATTTAGTATCCTTGAAGTAGTCGGGGTCATCGTGAGCCGGGTTCCCACTACACATTATGGGATCGTTGAACATGGCGAAAATGGCGACGAAGTGTCGGTCACTGAACGTACTACCGTCGACGACGATGCCAAACGGTACCTGATGTGCATTTTTTTGAGTCCGTCAACGATAGGGTTGAGCTCTTCGACAACCCTATCCTCGACGAATTCGAAAAAACCCATCAGGTCCGTTTTCTAGGTCTTATCACTAATTATTTGTTTTTGCGGATCTCTGCACCTCGTCCTCACACTCATTGTCACCCACAGTTCTCATAGAGTGCTTGGCGTTTCTTTGTTCTCGCCAGAAACTAGTGAGTGCTTAAGCGCGGTTTTAAATGCGGTCTAGGTATCTGGTTTTGCCGCTGCGACAACGTGGTTGGTGATATAGACGATCATAATCCGTAGGTTTGAAACACTCATTCAAAAACAATAAGTTAGCGGTTCCCGTTGACCAGTCACATATAAACCCAATATATTATTCCCTCCCTCAATCGTAAAATGGAATACATTTGAAGTCAAATATTCCTATTCCGTGGTTCTT